TGCTCGCCCTCGACGTCCATCAGCGCTATCGGGAGCTCGTCGTCCGCTAGCACCCCGCCGTCAGTCTCGTCGCCCTTGTTCTCCACGCCAATCGTCCCTAGAGGCTTCTGCACCAGTCGTACTCTGGCACTTTGGCCGTCCCTGTCCTGTCGTCGTACGCCCTCTTGTTGCTGTTGCTTTCGTTCGAACACCGCACGAACCTCGAGGCATTGCTGCTCGCGCCGTACCTGCCGTTCGGCATCCAACGCCGCTAGCGTCACGTTTACGTCCACCTTGGCGTCCGCCTGGTTCGATTTCCGTTTAGCCGCCTCCACTCGCTTTCGCTTGGCTTCGGACTTCGCACGCCGCGCCGCCTTCCTCACTTGAACCACGTTCTCCGTAGCCATGGCCACGTCGTTACTGCTGGCCACCGCGTGCCCGTCGCTCTTCGCGTCTCCGCCTTCCTCACTTCGCGCTACCTCGTTGTTCTCCGGCCACTCTCCGCCTTCATCACTTCGCACCACTTCGTCGTTCTTCGAGTGTGCTCCGCCTTCCTCAGTCTCCGGGTCCTCGCCGCCCACTACGTCGCCGCGCGCTTCGTTGCCGTCACCACCACCGCCACCTCGCGGGCCATCAACGTTATTGCTGCTGCCGTCGTTGCTCACAGATGCCGGCCTTACGTAGCGTAGTGCCGCCTTGGTCGGCCGCACAGTCGCCACGTATCGTCGCACACGGCCCTCATCTCGTCCTTCCAATTCTTCGTCCAATTGAGTGTGGGCCGCTTGCATCGCAACCACTCTACTCCCGTCCTGTGCCAGCACACTCTCTGCTGTTGTTACCATCGGCAGCTCGCGCAGAACGTCATCGCCGTGCGAGTAGAACTCCCCACACAGTTCATCCGCCTTCTGCAATTCTGCCGCTAACACTAGGTGCTGGCTGCATGTAATGTCTGTTACCGGCCAGTCGTCGTCTTCGTTCTCCTGCTCGCCACCGCCCTTCGTCTTCTTCCGCCGCCGGACCGTTACCCACTCACTTACCGTCTCTGTCGACTGCTCTACTCTTGGCGTTGCCCGCCGGGGAATTGTCGTTTTATCCGGACGCAGTGATCCCCTCATTACGCCCGCTCTTCGTTTCCCGACTCCGTCGTCTTCTGCGCTGCGCGTGCCGCTAGAAATGCGTCATTCCTGGCCTTCGCGTCGGGGTCCGGACACTCTCTTGCAAAATGACCGTGTTCTCCACACGCGTAGCACCGCATCTCGGCGCTATCTGCCCGGCCAGCCCACGATCTCTGGTCATTTCTGGCCGGCTCCGTCTTCACCGTCGTCTCTGCCGGCACCGTCCTACGTATCACCGCTCTCTGCTTCTTTCGCTGCGGCAGAGGCTCCGGCACTTCTTCCTCCGAGTCTTCGCTGGATTCCTCGACCGGTAGCGTCACTCGCACCTTCGCCTTCTTATCACCACTGCGTTTACCTCCCTGCCCTTCGCCCCGCGTTACTCGTGTCGAGTGCTTCCTTGCTGGTTCCCAATAACGTCCATTCCAGAACCTGCCCTCAGGGACGTCCCACGTACCGGTGAACTTATTGTAGACGCCCTGAGGGTTAGTGAAGTACGCGATCTCCGCGCCTTCCGTGCCCGTCTCCGCCGCTACTCCGTCTGCCATGCGCGCTGCACCCGTACCGACGCCCGGGATGATCGCGACTCGTCCCGTCGTACCGTCCATAGGCACCGCGAACGCGTTCGGGGCGGTCGCCCACGGTTGCCCGATATTCACCATGCCGCGCGCCACGTTGTCGATTGGGTCGTCAATAGCTGTGGCCTTGTCCACAGCTTGCTCCAGTGTCGTCGGCGCCGGCGCGTGTTTCACCAGCATCCTCGTCGTCTTGTCCAGGTTGCGGTAGAATTGCGCCAGCAAGGTGTGCTCACTGACGTGGTTCTGTCCCGTGACTGCCCGCAGCCCGGCCGCGAAGTCGGCAAACGTTTCTCCCGGCCACATCATACGCTGGTACACCCTCCATTCGGCCATTGCCTGATCCGGCCGCTCACCGTACCTCCGCATGAGTGCCGCCTTTAGATGCGTCCAGGTTTTTTCGTCGTCTTGAAGTTCTTGGTTCACTTGAACCCACCAGCTCGCCGCGTTGTCTTGTAACTTGTTTCCCACAATGAAGTATAGCTCTCTATCCGTCCAGTCCCCACGTCCAGAGATCCTCGCCCCTTCAATCGCTAGGTCCACTTTTGCGATCCACGTCGAGACAGAGATGTTTGGCGACGGCTTGTACACCATCAACTCCAAGTCCTTCGCGTTCTTGTGATGGTGTCGTCCACGGCGCGACCGCCTTCCGCGTCGGCTTCCTCGGCGTCTATCCCGCCGTCCTCGTCGTCCACCCTGGCCTGCCTCGGCATCGTCACTGCTGCTGTCGTAGCTGTCGTCACCACTGTTACTACCGCTGTCGTCGCTGCTTTTACTCCCATCGCTTCCATCCGGGGCGGGTGCCCGTCGAGATGCTCGTGCTGCCGCCGTTTTCGTCCTGGATCTCGCTGCTTTTGCTGACGTCGCTCTTGAGGATCGCTGCGAATCAATGTGCTGCGGCACGATCATCGTATCGACGGACCGTAGCGTGTTGGTTGGTCCGCTCGCTGGCATGGACACTCGTCGCGGCGCCGCCTGAGCGCTCTCCATGCCGGCTACCCGTGTCTCCAGTCGCGTCACCGTCGTGATCATCCTGTTCAGCGTGGCCATGAGTGCTGCGTCCCTGTCGCCATCACTCGCTGCCTCTGTGGCAGGTGCCTGTTGCGGTGCATCTCCCGCTTCTGTCGTGGCGTCCGTCGTCCTTCCTGTAGTCGTCCGAGCTTCCGGTGCCGTCCGGGTCGTGTCCGTGCGTCTCGGCGTGCGCCCTAACCGCGTGGTCATACCGCCGGTCACCACCGTCCGTCGCGTTTTTACCATTGGATCCAGTAACCTTGTAACCGCTCCTAATTGTAACCCGTAACACCTGCTGCTCGTACGTCTCGTCGCTCACGTATGCGTACTTGTGCTTGTAGTTGTCGTTCGTGTTCTTGACTTCAGCCCCTGTATGACCACCATGTAACGAGTCTGAATTAGTTCCCCTGCTCGCCGGGGTTTGGTCGACAGTGCCGATCCGCAAGTCCAAGTCCGCTGGCTGACGAGGACAATTCGAGTCACTCGCGCCGGTGAGTACCCAACTGGTAGCTACACCTATTTATTACGTCCGTTCAACTTAATACACTCTGCCTACAGCCACTACCAGTAGAACGTTTCGGTAGACTCTGCAAGTTCGTGTTCCGTCCGTCCAATCCGCACTCCACGTCCAGGAACTGCTAGTAGCTCGTCTCAGCAGACACCGTCCGCTTCGCACTCGTCCGTCCAGGTCGACGCTCTCCAACGTCGAAAGTTGTAGGATCTGCTAGCTCGGCTGCCGAATCCAAGTGAGAGCGCCGAACCCGTCCGTCCTTCCGTCCACCCAAAAACTTTCCACTAAATCCTGTCGATCCGAGCTTCGGCAGCCGACGCCAGCCTCCGCACGGATCTTCAAGCCTACTTACCTCGCCTAACTACCACTCGGTCCGCCCATCTGCCAGTCAACCGGCCACCGTCTCCGTTGCGTGCCACGAGATGCCAACTGCCCGGCCCCCGTTACAAACCTTTACGACGTTGTGGTGAGTCCGGATGTAGTGTCCAACTGGGAGTTCGAGAACATCGCCGTGAATGCCACGAGCGTTGGCCAATGCAGCGGCGGACCGAGCAACCTTCACTGCTAAGCACTGACTTGGCACACGCTTCTCACATACCGTTGCACAAATAATACTTAAGAGTGCAAGCCTTATATTTTCAGATTTCAGTTGATTGAATAAGAAGAGCTGCTGGTAGCAAGAAGAGCTCAAAGCGTCTGCCTAAATTCCTTGTTCGACAGGGACTTTGACTCATGGAACGTGAAATCGCGAAGGTAAGGCGTAGTCAAACCCAATGGATGGGTAAAAATGTACTGGAGGGCGTTGCAAAGAAGAGGCACTATGCAAAACAGTATGAAGTACATGTACTGTACTTCAAATAAACGAAGTGATACAGTCCTACATGTACTTTAAAATAAACTGAACTTGCGATATTGATTATTACTTGGCGCAGCCTGCGCTACCATGCCAACACGCTTCAAAAGCCGCAACTTCTCGAATTCGAAGCGCTTTCAGATCAAACGTACACCCCGTTACGGCTCGGGAAGCGGTAAACACCTTTACCGGTCCCGTACTGTACTGTACCTACAGTAGTAATAATACATGTGGTATGTACCCTGGTGTCGGGGCCCCCGACTCGGGGGCACGTGAAATTCGTACATGTATTGAAGGGTAAGCTTTGACTGTGTGCGCCTTCACAATCGTGACGATTATCGTCCGCGTGGGGACTCCCCACCCCACCTCAAAACCGTCTTGACGACCGAACAACCTTCGTGATGGACGGCCACAGCGATGGGTTTAGACAGTCCACTCTTCAAAAAGTTGCCTGCTTTTCGTCCTAAGGTGAGCCTTTAGCCAGCCTGTAGGCCACGAATTATGTCCGATGTGCCATTCCCATGTGGAAACCAGCAAGTCACTTGCTACTTGCTTACCAAGTGGCGCTCTCGTTTTAGTTTGTACAGATGTGCTCGTGACACCAACGCGAGCTCAAGTCATTCTTCGATTTACCTTGTGGCGAACAAGAGCCCATTTCCGTTGCAAACGACTTCACACTCGATATGAAGGTGCTCGCGTCAACTCTCGCCATTCTCGCCCTTGTGGCGGCCATTGCCAACGGAGATGACGTGGACCAAAGTGAAGTCGTCCAACAGTTCCAGGGAAACCAGGACTACGAGGTGGGGCAGGTATCTCCTGCAAGTCAGGTTGGTCAAGACTCCCCGTATCAGGTGGACCAGGACGATACGTGCACGCTGACCGGCACCTACATCAATGGTACCGACGTCTCTCAATGCAGCACTATCATCATTGACTCGCTCTCAGTGCCCGCTGGTGTGATGCTTGACCTGACTAATGTCACGGACGGCGCCAACATCAAGTTCCAAGGAACATCGACTTTCGGAACCGAGGTAAGAACGCACAGCTCATCAAGGTGCCACTCAAACTAAACATCTAACTCTTCTTGCTGTACTGTAGTTGTGGGCAGGCCCGCTAATTAAGCTCACGGGAAATGATCTCACTGTGACTGGACCTGGAACGCTTGATGGTCAGGGATCGTGGTTAACTGGCCGCAGGGTCAGAAACATCACCCGGCCGGTGTTCTTCCGCCTCAGCAGGGTTGCCAACTCGAAGCTGTCGGGCTTCACTATCCAGAACATGCCGTTCCGCACCTTCAGCATTCTCAGCTCGAACTACACGACGATCTCCGAACTCACGATCGACTCCCGTGCCGGCAACGGCAGCGCCAAGAACACGGACGGCTTCGACCTGAGCAGAAATAACCACGTGACCATCTCAAACAACCGAGTGTACAACCAGGACGACTGCCTCGCTATGCAGTCCAGCTCGAACACAATCTTCAGCAACAACTACTGCAGCGGCTCGCACGGCATTTCCATCGGCTCGTTGGGTGGCCCGGAGCAGAACGTCAACACAACCGTCTCTGGTCTGCTGGTCAAGGATAACACGATCGTGAACAGCACAAACGGCATCCGAATCAAGACCATCATTGGGCTGAAGGGACTGGTGACCAACGTCACCTACACTAACAACAGGCTCGTCAACGTCAAGAATGCTATTGTCATGCACTCAGATTACAACAAGACCAAGGGCGGGTACTCGGGAATCCCTTCTAGTCTGGTTAACATCACAAACATCAAGATCGATGGTCTCTTCGGCACGGCCACGAACCTGTACGATATTGTAGCCAACCCAGCCGTTGTGTCCAACTGGGAGTTCAAGAACGTCGCTGTTAATGCCACGAACGTTGGCAAGTGTAACGGCGGGCCGAGCAACGTGCAGTGCTAAGGAGGAGTTGAGTTTTTATGCCGTTCACATTAAATGACTGTTACGGGTGGGGCATCTGTTCCACTTCCACTTCAACTTGTGGCTTGGTTTTTGTAAGCATGCGCATGGGATCTTGAAAGGTCATTCACCGGATCTTCGTATGAGTCGCTTACGGGCCGTCGCGGCGCTGGCCACAGCCTTCTCGGCGTTAATGACGGTGGTCATCGCGTTTGCCATCGCACAAGCCAACCACGTGTACGTGGGCGGGCTGGCCTGGCCGTTTCTCTCGGACTTGGGGCGCGGTGCGTCGTCGAGCAGCAGAGTCAGTTGATAAAGTAAGCTCACGTAATCGTCGTTGACATTCAGATCCACCCGGTTCGTACGTGCTCTTCTTGGGCCTCAACGTCGTGGCCGTGCTGCTCGGACTCACGTGGAGCTTCAACCACGAGTATAAACAGCGATTCCTGCAGCAGAGTCTGGAGAACGGCCAGGTCTCGCACGGTCTGTGCTCGCTGTCGTTTGTGAGCTGTATCTTCGGCGTCGTTGGCGCCTTCGGGCTCCCAGTGTTCGCGTCCTTTAATGCCTCGCCGACGCTGCACTATAACTCGGCCTTCGGATTTCTGCTCTGCGAGACAGTGGCCATGTTTACCAATGTATGGGGATGTATTTACTCGTTTGCGGCCATGCAGCTAACGTGTGTGTGTGTTTTTTTTTCGTGTCCATTGGTAGACCTACTTGAACTACCAGATATTCCTGGTGAAGCGCGCCGAGATGGATGCCGGAGTGTTTATCACCGACCGATATGGCCCGCGCAGCGTCTCCCGAATCAAGATGGGCGAGTTACAAGCGGCCAAGCGTGGCTTCCTCATCGAGCTGTCCTGCGTGGCCGTCTACTCCATGTGTGTGCTGGTCTATCTGCCTGTGTTATACAACGGTGCCGACGCTCCGCATCTCACGATCAAGCAGGTAGACGCCAACTCGAGAGAAATTACTGAATACTCGAAGCATGAGCTGACTTGGGTTGTATTATACATGTAGTGTATTGCTTTGAAGCTTGGAGAAAACTACTGCAGCTCCACCATGCGGCTCGACGATGTAAACACGAAGCTGTGGGACTACGGTAAGCTTTATGAAATGATGTCTCAGTTTACCCGCTAATTATGTGTGGTTCTGGAGAAAGATATTGCCGTGCATCAAGTGCGCGCTCTGGCGCAGCTCGGGTGTATGCTGACGCTCATCGGGTACACGCTGAGCTTCTTCGCCGACAACAAGGACGAAGAGACCCTGAAAGACACAGACCGCACGGAAGCCACCATCATTTACTACCAACACAGTGCCTCCATACCTGGAATCCGAAGTCCACGGAAAGCTCGTCGAACCAGCTCGCGGCGGAGTAAGTCCACTTCCAGTTCGGTCAGTGAGCCATCCAAGCATTCCAGTGAGTTTCGCTGATAATGTCCACAGAACGTACAAATTCTGCAGTGATGGAAATACACAAGTTGTCGAAACTCCCACGTGTCGTTCTCGAAAGTCGCCATGATCCACTACACATTTCTGCCTTGAAACGCCGCGTCTTCTCAGATTTCCTGCCATCATGGCGTTCCCGTACCCGGTACACACGCGCGTGACGGCGCGCAATGTCGACAAGATCCAACTCGAACGCCGACGACAGGAGTCGGAGCACAACGCGCTGCACAAATTCGCACAGGGAAACCAGTTGCAGACACTGCAGAACCAGTCAGACGCCACTGTGGCATCCCGTCGCCGCATGAACCACGCGGCTCAACTGTCAGCCGAACGGATGCTAGAGGAGTCGCATGCTCGGAAGATTAGTGAGCGGCAACGCGCCACTCGAGAGCGTCAGCAGAACGAGGCGCTTGCCCATGCACTCGAAACCAGCAAAAAGGCCCAGGAGCAGCAGGAGCGAGACGTGCAGCGCATCTGTGAAGCCAGCGAGGAACTGCGCGAACTCGAGTCGTTCCTCCGTACGGCCTACATGAACAAGGAGCGGGCCACGCAGCAGCTTGAGCGTGAGACGCTGACCGCTTTGGATCGTCAACGTGAAGCTGCGATAGACCACCAAATGGAGTACGATCGTCAACGCGCTCTCGTGGATATGCAGAACCATGAGTTGAGGAAGCGCGTCGAGGCCGAACAGGGTAAACAAGTGCTCCAGTCGCAAATGCTGCAGCGCCAGGAGCTCCGCCGTGAAGCGCAACTTGACGCAGACTTTGAACGCCTCA